ATTGCAATTTAATAAGAAAATATTTAAAAACTAATAATACAATCAACGAGTCGAATAATAAATAACAATATTTTATGCCGCATAATATCAGAGATGATAGGATATAAACCCATAACAATTTCCGTATAATAACCTGTTAGCCGTCTCTTAAACGATAATTTATCGTCGATACAGTGCAACGGCGGTGTTGATACGGTGTACTAATGTTGCAAGTGTAAGCTTGGCTCTCACAAAAAGCATGAAATTGTCAAAATTTGTCATTTTTGAGCGATAGTATTACAAAAACTACGAGGCAGAAATTCAAAATTAGACCAAAATTTTCTTAAAAAATAAATAATCTAACAGAATATCTAAAAAAATATGGGGGTTCCCATTTAAATTTTTAAAGTTGATACCACGCATGCGCAATCTACTTAAGTTAAGATTTTAGATTTAAGCCTTAAATGTGTATAAAATAACACCTACCAACATCCTAAAGTCAAAATTTGAAAAAAATCAATAACGGCTCCAAAAATTGGCCGTTTTCGAACTTTTTGAACACCCTGTATATAATTACTGTCTTTGTAATCATAAAAATACTATACCATAAAAATAAATCGTATTTTAAGTACACCATCACAACGTTCTATATTTGATCGTGATTTACAAAATGTGGAGTTGTATGCAGCCTCCGGTGTACCATCGAGAAGATTTAAAAAAGGCATCATCATCCATGGCCGGAGTATAATCACCTTTACATAGTGATATCATAATAAAAGTAATGGAAAATAAATATGGTACGGCTAAAGGTGAAATGAGTAATAAATATTTATTTGCTTCGAAATATTTACTTTCTATAAGGCAATCCATTAAATCCATTTTATTTCCAATAGAAATAATAAATAGTAATAACACTAAATGTATAAATAGTATAGATCTAGTAGTAGTAGTTAAAACTGTACTTATTTTATGTATGGGATTTTTTTTTGGACAGGTCCATTGGGTTTTAACATCTACAACTTTTAGTAATATACACGGTACTCGAACACGTATAAAACGTATTTAAAATATAGCTCGATTTCCATATTATTATTTGTTATTAAAATTAAATAAAAAATGCCAAGATGTGTAGGTACAATCGAGTTGTAATGTTACAAGGGTAATTTTGCATGTGACAATTATACTAAAAAAAAGTGTCGTCTAGCCGATTATAAAATAATATAAGTGATTACTGAATAGTTTTTTTTAAATTTTTCTATAGTTACTCGGGTTTCCAAGGCAGAGAGTGGAGATAAACACGTTGAAAACATTACTTTTGTACACAACACACGGTACAACTACATATCCGATATTTTTTATTAACTGTTACACTCCCGTAGCGGAGATCTTGAATTTTAAAGAAAAATAAACGAGCAATGGAGAAATGCGAGAAACTGAGGTTGGAGAAGAACGCGAAAAAGACACCGCCCAAAATACATGATCCACAGACGCATCAAGACTTCTCGTATAATTTGGACGCGTGCGTAGTTCAGGGAACAAAATCGGACAGGCAAGCTGCGAAAAGTCCACCTGGCATAGTCGAACGGGTATGGATTATGAGCCGCCCGCCTACCCTTGGTCGAGGAGTGGAGCCCACAGTCACGGCTCGTAGAGCGTACGTGATGCAGACTCACATCCAGGGACAAATGATCGACGCGGGCGACCTGGTATGTAAAAAAGTATGCACCCTAGGTGGCGCCACCGGTCAGGACAAAGACCTAGTCAATATGGGCAGCGCCAAGAACCCCAATCGCCAGTCCACGGCTTGTGGAAAAAGTGCTACGTGCGACTAAGATATTATCCACCAAACAATGTCTTGGCTTTAGTGAACAAAACATCTCGTTGTAACGCCTTGTTGTAACCGAATAAAACCAAACCATTTTAACGCACGATAATATAGCGTTCGTTTATTTTTATACAGGAAGAAAAGGATTTTTTTTTTGTCATGAATTTACGTTACGCTTAGGTTAGGTTGGATTTAGATTAGGCCTAACCTGCATTTGCGACATCAAAAGAAGATCGAGGAGGGGAAGATAGGGTGGAGGGAAATATAAAGCAAGGGTAAGAGGATTAGTGCATTTTTGTTGACCAGTGTTATAAGTACACAATCCTCTCACGATTGACTACCAAAAATTGATATCGGGATGGTTATGTGGGGTCCGAAAATATGGTGAACAGAAATCTGTGGCTTTAAGTTATTATTACAAAAGCTGTGGAAATCGCGTTATGAATGGGACGAATCGTTATCGTACGACATCGTAAACAAATGGTATGATTATTTATCGCAGCTACTTGTGTTTAGTAAACAATATCGCAATTCCCCATCGTTATATCGATCTCGAAAATTACTGTTTTATACAGGTACACCGGTTCGCCAATGCGTCAGTCAAAGCGTGGTGTGAATGTTATATTTAAGATGTAATGCCTAAGTTTGGCAAGAGAACATATCGCAGGTGCCATCATGTCGACGGGCAATGGGAATGCGGCTATGTTAAATATGGCCAGTTAATGGAACCATTAACGTTTATCCAAAGAATTGAAACAAATTACATTTTATTTCAGTCAACTAAAAATGAGAATTTTTTTTTACAAAACACTCAACAGCAAAATTATGGGTGGAAGAAAAGAGTTAAACCCGCAACCTAATTAACTAGTCAGTCGTAGAAAAACCAGGAGATTTGTATTAAAATGTAGAAGAACCAGATGTCCTAGATAGCCACAGTGAATTATTAGATGATTGATCGTTGTTTAGTTTTCATTCACATGGAAGTGAAATGTTTTGTTGGTTATTTGAAATATCGTACTTTACGTTGTTTATGATAAAGTAGTCTCGTTGCTTACACAGAAATTTGTATTTTACAATAAAGAACTATTGTTAAACTTAACAGAATACCTATTTTACAAAACTCTTTTCACACCGTAAAAAGAGTTTTTATTTATACTTTATATTATATGTAATATGGTTTTAGAAAACGAAATAACAATAATGTTATTGTTTCGCAAAAGGTTATATTTACTATTAATAAGCCTAAATCATTATAAATAATACTACGATCGCACTGATACTAATATAACAATCGTAGCTCTTGGCTCGCAGTGGTTATGAAATTGAGGAAAGCCGTGTTCCTTAAGGGGACGTCAAATAAAAATTTAACAAATAAGGATCAAACAGTTTTTTATAATACTCTAACTGATTTTCTTATTTCGGAATAAAAAATCGGCCTTACAGCCCCTATAGCAGAGACAATCGTAGGCTTCACTTAAACAAAAAACAAAAAAAATGAAATTCGTCTAGTAGCTACGCCAGAAAATGACAAAAGTCATTTTTCATGAAACTTTTACCATAACTCTGAGAAAAATAACTTTAAAAAGTATTATAACTAGAAAAACTTAATATTTTTTCACTTTAAAATTAGTCGTCATATTAAAAATGGCTACTAAATGAATTTTTGTCAAATGACAGTCAAAGGCAATTTTTGCCTTTACTTTGTACTGAAATATAAATTCCTTCGTATTTAATTCAATTAGTTAAATATTGATCGAAAATTGTTAATGCTACGTATTAACAATCATTAAATATAGTCGATTTTAATTGCCATTAAAATTAAATCCTTTGCCTATTATGTTATAAAGCAAATATTCGAAAACCAGGCTTAGAAGATTTAAGCAAGGTCAATTTAATTCCAAACGAAAGGCAAACCATGGACTTATTATCATTTTGCGAATTTAACAAATTTTGCACAGTCAATTGCTGTATTTGCCTCCAGAGAATGTGAAAGATAAATTAAAAATTTGAACTAAAAAAAAGTTTTAGTTTATATTATTTTTATACTTGTAGATCGACATATTTGATCAATAAATTTTAAAATCACATATTATGCTGAAATATAAGCAGTCTCAGTAAATTCGTCTAAGTTTTATAATTTGAAATTTACTAATTAACTTTAAGAGGCATACCTGCTGGAAAGACGAATTGTATACAAAATATCAAAAAACGCAAACTGCAGAATAAGTTTTATGATATCTAAGTTCATGTGGTTCCTTTCTCACTCCTCGTTCACTATAGTTTCACAACAATCTATAAAACGGCGTGTGATAGGCAATAGCGATAGCAGCTGCTTATAACTACGTCGAAGTATGCAACATGTATGTTAAATTTCCAGGTAACATAGAACTTAACCAAGATCGCAGAGAGTAATATATACTATGTAAAAAGTAGCGGTTTACTTAAAATTGCATTACTGTTTTTTATTTTTTTCTTATAATATAAACTTTTATTAAAATCTATAATTGTTAAATTGTTTTCTCTTAATACGTGCGCCTGACATGCAAAAATAGAAATAATTTTCTTTATATTTTGGATAAGTTCAACCAAAATGCTAGCAAAGAACTAACATTAATTATTAATTTATCGCCTCATCTATTGTTAATGTTCACATTATCAATGGAATTTTTCATAGATAAAAATAGTAGAAATATTCTATTAAAAACGGGGTTTCCATTATCGTCTCCCAACTTATCCGATTCGTGTCTGTTTTTGTCTTTGATAATTTAAAAACGTCTATCGTTATTTAGATCCCTTCTAACAGCTCTGTTGTTATGTGGGGAACACTTAAGACTTCTCTACACAGAGTTTCATAAAATTATATTCATATATATATAACTATATTTTTTTTTTGTAAATTAACAATTTGTCAGTTTTTAATCGTTAATCTACTGATTCAGGTCCTCCTTAAAGCTTTAATCAGTGACTATTTGAATGTTTTTTTTTTTAAAGATGTCTGACGTTGATTCGTGAGAAATCAGTATGGCCAGAACAAACACGGCGACGGGCAAAAGTAGGTTTTATTCCCAATATCTTCGGTTACTACGTATAATAACCGAAAATTGACAGTTGTTTTGTTTGGTAAATTTTTGAATTTTTTTTATTGATATTTTGCGAGTGTTTTTTTTTAATTTGTTTTAACGATTTGTTGTCGACAATGTCTAACGACTTGGATTTTGACGTGATGGTTAGCGAAATCAGCGAACGGGTTGCCACCATCCGCGAGCCACAGGTGGTTGTGACCATCGAAAAGTGGGTCAACAAACTGGTGGCCGAGCCGCGTGGGCCCAACGAGCTCAACTATTTGAAACTGTTAAACCGCATGATGAACAACAAGCGAGTCGGGCCACCGTTTCTGCGGCCACCGCCGGCAGGGCCGCTGTTTCCGCTCAGCCGGTACATCAACCCTAGACCATGCGACGGTCGACCGCCGACCGGTCAGACGGCGTTGAACTGGTACTCATCTAGCCAAAACCGTTCGGTGCAGACCGCGGTCGCGGACAGGACGCCGTCGCCGACGCCGTCTGCCGTGCCTTCGTTGTCATCGACCGACGGCCACTTGCCCGCCGGCGGATGTCCGTGCGGTATCAAGACGAAGCCGGGCGGAGGCAAGTCGCGGGCCAGAAGCGACAACGACGTGTGCAATCCGTGCCTGGACAAAGTGTTGCGCACGGCAGACCAGGTGTGCGCGGGCTTACCGGACGAGTATAACGACTTGCTGGGAGACTGCACGCTTCCGACGTTTACCGAAGAAGAACAGAGGACCGTGGGCCCAGAGCTGTTGCGGGTACTAAAAATAATCGACGACACGACTACTCTGCAAGATTTTTACTTCCAAGTGAGCACACGACGTTTTCTACTTCTTTTTTCGATTATCAATCTACATCCGTCTATTTCTTTATTCACTTCAAACCAAATCTATACTTTCACAAGCTCGGTAAATGTTCTGGGTTTTATAAGCTTAGTTTACAAAGTCAAAATGTTCGAATTTTGGTTTTTTTTTTTATATTTATGAATACTAAAAACTCGTAAAGAGTATGCTCATTGGGGACGCCACGTCACCTATTTATTGGTAAACTTTATTTTAATATTTATATTTTCATCAGACTAGCACCGTCACTTCTATAGAAGAAATACAATTTTTTTCCATAAAACCATCAACTTTTTTTCAAGTATTGTACATTCTTGAGATAACTTAGACAATAGTATAATTAACGAATGAAAGTTTGAACTATGTTTTTTTGGAAACTTACTGTGGAAAAAAATAGTATGATACAGTAATTTTCTAATTTTTTTTAGTTACCTTTTAACAATTATTTTTAAGAATTAATTTTCTAATAAATGTTTAAATGCTACACCACAACATCTGCAGTCGGCACAATTGTCGACAAAACAATGATACTTATGTACCAACAACTTAGGCAAAAATGATTGTCTTTTAAAACAAATATTTGTTTACGATTTTTTATGAATTAAATTGTATTAAAATTTCAATGTAAAAATATGAATAAAAATATGCATAATGAAGAATTAAGTATATAAAAACTTAATATATATATCATATTTGCATAAATGGTATATCATCGTTGTAACCTAATCAAATATGTTATTATGTTGTACTAGTAAATTTTGTGTTGAACAGGTATCGCAGTACACTTGCGATAAGGGAGCAATGCTGATGAAAGTGGCCGACGCTATGATGGCCGAATTCGAGGCGTTCGTGACGGACGTGTTCGAGAGCCGGGCGCAGCACATCAGCGACGGACTGGCCAAGGAGCAGTTGGCGCTCAGTGACAAGTACACGTTCCTGGCCCGGCGGTCGCTGAACCGGGCCACGATGGCAATGGACTACCTGAAGGAGCAGCTGCCCGTGTTCAACTGGGACAAGTATAATGCCGAACCGGAATCGTACATGCAGAAAATGATAGCGTCGGCCAGTGCCGTGCAGGCCAGAGGCGGAGGCCGCGGGCCCGCTGGCGACGACGAGATGCAGTCGGCCGACGGCGGCGATGACGACCCTCAGCACGCGGCCAACAAAAAGCTTTTATACACGCTCAACTGGATGCGCACCGAGGTCAACCGAATGGACTGCGAGTGCCAGGCCTTGTACGATCAACGCAAATGTCTCACCAACAGCTTGTCCGCGCTCAACGCCAAGCTGTCGACCACCCAGTGCCAATCATCGGCCGACATCGGCCAGCTCAAGGACGAGCTGACGGTGCTCCGGTCACAGTCGGCCAACCAGTCAAAAACTATTGATCGGCTCATGGAAACCATACAATTGACCATGCAAAACACTGCAACCAAATGATGAAATAACAACGATGTCCGAAAAACACAGACATGACATCCAATTTTCACACAAACATCAACACACAAGAGTTTTCGTTTCAAATACATACAACAATATTGTATTGTGCTGCAATACGAAATTAACATGTTCTTATTAATTTAAAAGATACAATACATATTATTTTTAAAAGTATTAATTTACAAGTTATCAAAAAAATATAAGTTCCAGTGTCCGTCATTGAGTGCCCTATTGAGCCCTAGACAGTATATAAAATTTCCTAGAGCCTAACATTTCTAGACACTACATGTATATTTTAAAACTTCCCACTATCTTTTATTAAAGCAGCTACCTACTAATTTTTTTTGATCGCTCACACTTAGTTTGGAAGTTATAGGCACTGGTCACACGTCGCAGTTACTAGAGCTGGCCATAAACCCGTCGCTGATGATGGTGAGTAACTGGATGGAAGAACACGGTCTGAAGATATCGCACAGGAAGACAGTGGCCATAGTAATGACTAGCAAGAGGAACTTTAGGGACCCAGTGTTCATACTACACAATGAACCAATAAATCTAAGCAGGACCGTCAGGTACCTAGGAGTGGAACTCAGTTCCAACCTCGGCTTCCGTGAACATCTGCTAGTGGTCAAAAACAAAGCTTCCAGGACAGCCGGAGCGCTTGGTCGGCTCATGCCTAATGTTGGAGGACCGAAGCCAGCAAAGCGTGTTCTGCTGACCTCGGTGGTTCACAGCCAGCTATTGTACGCAAGTCCCGTTTGGGACAAAGCTCTGGTATTCCAAAGGACCAGAGAAGTCATTGTTAGCCCCTAGCGTGCTATGGCTTTAAGGGTGACCAGCGCCTACCGAACTGTATCCTCGGCAGCCATACTAGTGGTTGCAGGGGTTACCCCAATTCACCTGATGGCCACACAGAGAACAAGGGCGGCTGAACTCGAGACGGAAGGCCTAACGAGGAAGGAGGCTAAAACCAGGGCGGACACGGAAATTATGTTGCAATGGCAGGCTGAGTGGCTACAAGAGACGAAAGGTGCTTGGACTCGCCGCCTACTGATCGACGTTAGCAACTGGGCGCGGAGGAAGCACGGTGCAGTCAACTTCCACCTGACGCAGTTTCTGACCGGAAACGGCTGTTTCGGCGCGTGACTATATAGGTTCAAGCGCCGAGACAGTCCGTCGTGCATATACTGTCTTCATCCCTGGGACGACGCCGAGCACACCTTTGAGTTTCATCATGCAATATAATACATCATGCGTGTAACCAGAGGACCTGCAACCTCTATCAATTGTGGAAAATTCAGCTTTTCAGCAGATGATAATTCTTTTAGATTCTAGGTAATTAATAAACTATATTATTAATTACAAAGTATGTTGTAGAAATTATGAAAAGTTTAAATAGATTCATGTGATTTGATCTTGATAATTTTGATTTTATTATTTATGGGTTCTTTCGTCAAACAATCCGAACATTCCGTCCATTCCTCACAACTGCCAAAATCATACATGTAAAATTGAAAGTAATTGAGGTGTTTCATTCTGCATTAACCATTTAATAAAATATACAAATTATTTCATTTGTTTATTAATGATAAGAATAATTTATTTCAGTTATAAAATACCCAGCAGAAGGGCTCTCATTAAAAAAATTATTCCGGATTTATTTTCTACTATTAAAAATAATGTTCAAGAGATCCTGAACGACACTTCGTTTATTTCAATTACAACAGACATATGGACATCCATGAACACCGATTCTTATAAGATTATCATGGCACATTTTTTTCCAAAAGGACAGTCTCATCTGAAAACTGTTGTTTCGTGTATAAACAAATTGGAGAAAAATCATACTGTGGTAAATTTGGCTGAAATAATGATGACTGAATTTAATATATTGTAGGGAATTTTAAGTAAAGTAATTGCGAATGTGACGGATAGTGGCGCCAACATTGGGGCTACAGTGCGGTTATTGAACATTCAGCATATTCCCTGTACAGCACATAAATTTAATTTAATAGTCCAGCAGACTGGCAAAAAGTAATGAAGAGGAGTCCAGCAACTGAAATGAGTTGAAAAATATTTTTAAAAAATGTCATGCCGTAGTTGATTTTTTAAGCGCAGCGAGGTAGGGAATAGGTAGAAAAACAAAAACAGCTAAATATTACACATATATTAAAGCTTAAACAAGACGTCCGTACTAGATGGAACAGCACGTCGTTCATGCTTAAACGTTTATTGAAGTTAAAAGAACCACTAACACTCGCAATAATATCATTAAAATATGCTCCATCCAACCATACACCTGGAGAATAGGACATTATTCAGGATATAATGCCATTATTAAAACCCTATCCCAGAATGACGGTGGAGCTTTTTACTGAACAATACCCTACTATATCTAAAGTCATTCCATATCTACGAGGTAAGTATTATAATGTCCACAGGCCCAAGTTGGTCAGATAGGGAAATCTAGTTTACATGAGAAAACTAGAGTTTAGGAGTATAAAAAAACAAACGTTAACACCATGCTTTTCTCGAGCTGCATTATTAGATACGCGCTTTATAAAAGCTCCTTTTGCAGTTGACAATAATGCTACTAAAGCAGAAAAAGTAAGATTTCAGAACTATCCGTTTTAATGAACAACACACATGGAGCTGGTAAATAATAAATTTAATAATTAAATAATAGAACGATTAATTAAACTAATAATACACCCAAAACTTTTCTGTAGATAACCAATTATAAGTAGATTATAATAAGTTAATAATTATTTAAATAGCTTACTTAAACCTAATTAATTTTTATTTTAGATCAAGAAGTATCCGATTCTGGCGACGGCGAACAACAAAGCTCTGAAAGTCTGTGGAGTTTTTTACAGGATAGAGTGCAGGGTATGCAGTCGTCAACAACATCGACAAGCAGTGCTATTGCACTGATAAAACAGTACACCAGTATGTCGTTTGAGCATCAAAGCGGTTCGTAATCAACTAAGCTATATTGCATTAAAGTATGCATCAATTCCTGCCACATTCGTTCCAGCACAAAGAATTTTTTTTTAAAACAAGCTAAATAATAAGTGATAGGCGAAGCAGACTATTACCAGAAAACCTGCATACACTCAATTTTTAAATAAAAATATAAAGTTAAAGTAAATTATTATAAAAATAAAATAAAATTAGGTACTATAAAATAAAATAAAATAAAATAACTAATCAATTATTCTAAATTATTATAATTATGTATTACAAGATTGTAAAGATGCAGTTAATACATATATTTTTTTTAGTGCTATCAGGCCATTAAGGCATTTTGAACGCTGCTCCCATCTGCCTCAGCCTCTCATCCTCCTCCTTTCTGGACAGGACTGAATCGACAAAGGCGTCTATGATCTGCCATCTGTCCTTGGAGACCATCATATACTCTTCCACTCTGTCTGGCGTCAGTTCATACCCAACTCGATTTCTAATAGCCACCTGATACGCCACCACCGATCACACACAAAGAAGGTGTGCTCGGCGTCGTCCCAGGGATGTTGACAGTAGACACACTGCGGGTTATCTAGACGCTTATACCTGTATAAGTAGGCGATAAAACATTCATGCCAATCAATACCAAAGTCAGTTAGGCGTATTCTAAAAAAAGACTTTAAGAGAGAGTTTTCTCATCCATCATTTCACAGGCCACGTGTAGAGACTTGTAGGACATGCGATATGTTAAATCTCAAAGTACTTGCCAAAAACGAATTCAGTGAAATATCAAAAATACAATTGAATGAAAATCATAATCAGTATAAAATGTCTATGAACCTAATGGCTACTGATATGGCAAACGCAAAACTTCCAAATAATGAATTTTCTGTTATTTCATGGACCATTACTATTAAGTACTACCTTTGACAACACTTACTCGTAGTAATATGTATTACAGCCGTTATCAGTCATTAATTGAATAATAATTCTTAGTTTACGATCGCAATTTCACTATAGTTGAAAAGAGACGTCGAGTTAGTCAAATTTTCGCTCCTTCTGATTCGCAAGAGACGGGGAGAACAGCAAAGTTAACAAATCAATTTTGAGTGATTCCAATGGACGAAAACAACTTTTTCTCTTGTAAAGACATTGCGAACAATTTTCTGAACACAACCAAGTTACCAATTTCTACATGCTCGATGATTAAAATTTCATCTATAACTCCCGAAAAATTCAATTATATAAAAACATTTTCTGATAAAGAACACTGAAAAAATTTTAACGTTTTTAATAGAAATGTTATTACAGACCAACTTAAAAATCAGACATTGATACCTGTACCAAAACCCACATTGTCGCCAGAGAAGAAAGAAGATCTGTTGGCAATGATTCCTTTTTTACCTGAAGAGCATAGAAACATCTTTCAAAATATTACGTCATGAACGTACTTTTTCTAAAATGTATTATAAAGTTATTATTTGCAATCAAGGTTTTTTTTTTTTGGTTTGTAAATTTATTTTTTAATTTGTGATATTTAAATATGGTAGGTATTGTTTATTTTGTATTGTATTTTTAAATGAAGAAAAAATGTTTATTTTTCGTTAAAGTTGTAATTTTATTTTATTAATATAATAAAGAATGATTCTCTGTTATTTACAATAAAATATTGTTACCTGGAACAACTATCACACCATTTGTTACTTATAATTTTTACTTATTTGTCACTCCGATTCACGTCCCATTATTATAATACTTTTTGGAGCCCATAACAGCACATACACACACAGACAACGACGACGCACGCCACCACCGCGGCCGGACACGCACACGCGTTATATAGGATCACAGTACGCAATAGATTCGATCGCACTTTACACCTATACGGACAGCGAGGACATAGACATCTGGGTTCCTTTCCACATTCGTTTTACAGGTGATTCTTAAGGGAACTCCTCCACTTGTTAGTACGGCTAAGTAAATAAATCGAACACAAGATTCCATTTGGTAAAGTAGTGCAGTTATTGAAAGAGAATAAAAATATGGCAAAAACTATTGGAATCGGAATGGCCACTGTCACTGGAACTTTTTATAACGGACGCTTGTCCGAGAGAGCTAAACGAAACCATCAGTTCAAGGTAAATTAAAGAAGAAAATGAAGACAAGCAACTAAAAAGGTATATACAGCTCAAATATGACAACAAAATTAAAAGTCTGGATAAATAAATAATGAAATGCAAAGAAAAATTGAAAAGTTAAAAAAAAAGAGAAAGTAATAAATAAAATACTCAAAGTCAAAAGTTCGGACAAAATTGAAGATTATAAAAATATATAGTATTTTTAATCTTGTGTTAAAATTATTTTAAAAACAATGATAATATTAACAATATAATACTTGGCACTTAGAACTATAATTTACAAATATTTAATTTTAACTAAATAACTTAAAAGGGACCTAGTCGACTTCCTCAGTGAACTCATCTTAATTATGTTGCACAAACCGATGAAGACTTTCATATTGGAACTACTTCTATATTAGCTAATGTGCCTAATTTTGATGTTGTTACTAGATTTTCTTTAGATTATCAACATTTGGTTTGTCTTGGTATAGTAAAAAAAATTGTTTTTTTATGGATGAAGGGTCCTCTTTCAGTCAGATGTCCATCTTGGAAAATAGAAGAAATATCAAAATCGTTAGTTACCTTAAGGCTTAATATACCTTGTGAAATCAATAGAAAACCACGAAGTTTAGCTCAGATAAAATATGGGAAGGCCACAGAATTTCGGACGTTTCTGTTGTATTTGGGTTTTACTGCGACCAAGACTGTGTTATCAAAAGAACATTGGAA